TTACTGTATTTCCGTCTTTGTCTTTTTTTCACTCCCTCTACAGAAAAAAACGTCAAATATAAAGATATTACAAAAAGCATACGAATTGAGGAGAAAAAAATGCTTAAACAAACCAAAAAAAAAAAAAATACAATAAAAAATAACGAAATGAAAAGATGACATATCATTTAATAGAAAAAAAAAAAAAAAAAAAAAAAAAAAGCTAATTATTTCAACCGATTATTGTCACATTATTTATTATTCTTTCCCACTTTTTCTCTCCCGTTTATAAACGTGATCAGCGAGTACTTTACCTTCCAAGAGCCAAATCTGGGTCAATAGATTCAAGTACAGGCTGCTAACGGGATTTTTTTTTACCACTAATTATAGACACTTCAGAGAGATGATCTACGAGTTGCTTTTGACACAATGATGCTAATCGGCAGATGTGTATATGAAAATATGTATATTTATGTATATATATATGTGTGCGTGTATGTTTGTGTGTGTGTTTTATATATATTTATATATATACATACATAGATACATATTTATACATATATGTATATATAAATGTATATACATGTATATACATACATATATATATATACAAATATATATAAATATAGATATACATATAGATAGAAATGTATATATATATATATGTATATATATATTATATACACACACACACACACAGACACACACACACTCACACACATATATATATACTACAGGTTACTTTTGACACAATGATGCATATTTGTATATTTATATGTTTTTTTTTTTTTTTTTTGCACACACTATGTATACAAACATATATACGTACACACACACACACACATACACACACACACACACACACACACACACACACACATATAATATATATATATATATATATTATATATATATATATATATAATGAATATATATATGCATATATGTAAATATGTATAATCATATATACATATACATATATAAGGATATATATGCATATATGTATATACAGTATATATATATATATATATATATATATATATATATATATATATATAATATATATATATATTATATATATATGCGTGTGTATATATATGTATGTATGCGTGTATCATACATGTACGTATGTGAATGGCTTTAACTAAGCAAAGTAAAACGTCATCGTCAATCGTTGTTGCTGACCTCTCACCTTCGACTTCCCGAAGTTAGGCCTATCTGCTGCCCCTTGTGGGCGTGGCCTTTGTCCCGAAATGAGGAAGGATAGGCCTCCTTCGCCTATATATAGGCTGCAGTCAGCTCTCCTCCTCACAGTAACTGCCACAAGCACAACAAGCAACATGAATCCTCTGGTAAGAATCTTTCATGACGTATTCCTGTTTCGTGGTCATAGTTTGTATATATATGAAACACTAATGCAATATATATTTTACCTCTGCTTGCATGGAGAGACGTTTGATATACTTTTAATTTACTCGTCATCTCGCTCTAAATCAGGTATTAATATAGTATATCTTTTACCTCTGCTTATATCGAGGCAAAATTTTCTTTAGTTTGCCCCTAATCGCTGATTCTGTCTTTCAGAACTTCCTGGTGTTCTTTGCTGCGGGATGCATGGCTGGTCCCTCAAACCCTGTGGTGCTTCCCCTGACCAGCGGACTGCACTACCCCGGGGCCGTTCCTTTGGTTTCCACGCCCTTGAGGACTGTCCCTGTGGCTCCTCCTGCCGTGGTTCCCAGCCCCTTCGTGGCTCCAACTGTTGCCGCTCCCCTCCCCATTGTGTACAACTCAGCTCTCGGCGCCCCTTCGGTGTACGCTCAGGTTGCTATTCCCGACGCCGCGGGATCTGCAACCTACGGCCTGTTCAACCTTCAGCCTGTGCCTTCGTCAGGAAATGTTCCTGACGACTGCACTGTGGTCAAAATCTTGGGCAAGGAATGGTTCATGGTCTGCAAGAATAATTAATTTGTCATTCTCAGCTCCCTCGGTGTTACATACCTCTTTATTTATACTTTGGACTCTACGGTACATTTACTGAGAG